CCCTTCCCGGTTGTCTCTCTGAGGCCGGAGGCTGCCGGCGCAACTCGCCCCTTTCCCGTTGCTATCCGCTGGCCGCAGCGCTTCAGAAACCTCCCGCCCTCACCCCTGTGGTGTCTCCCGGGAGGAGGGGTGGGGGGTGGACGGCCGCCGAGGAAGGAAGGTTGATGCCGGGAGGGTCTGCTGGGCTCTGAGCCTTAGTGCAGCTCTCTGGGCTCAAAAGTTTTAGCTGCAGCACGGTGTTTAGGCCGGGAAAACCGGGACCCTCAGGCATTGCAGCGGGTGTGTGTGGTTTGTTCGGTTTCGGTGGCTCTTGGAGCAGAAGCAGGGGTGCGATCCAGGGTAGGCAGTGTCGGTGCTGGCCTCGGCCTCCTCCCGTGAAGGGTCTCGACACCTCCCGTGAGCCACCGGAGTCACACGTGCCACAGAAAACACCCGAGCTGCTGCTTTAACCTGCCTGGAGCCCGGTGTGTCCCGTTCATGAAGCAAGGCAGAGACAGTGTGGTGTATAAGAGCAGTCTAATAACATGGTTAGAGCATTTCCTAATACGCCCATATGTATCAATACTTTGGTGTTTGATTTTTGCAATGCTTAACTTTTTTTCTTGCTTCAAAGGGCCCTGTAACAAATTTATTTATCCAGCATGATCAATTGTAAGCTTTGGGTTATCTCTGTAATAGGTTGTTTTTCCTTCAGTGCTTCTAGTAGACTTGCTTCTCTTTCAAAAGATGTTGTCTGCTAGTCTTCTTTTGTTGTGGGTCTTAGTTTACTTATGGTTAACATTTTTTTTATCCTTTTGAGGTTCCTGTGAAGGTTCAAGCCCAGGTTGGACAGGGTTTTAAGCAACCTGGGCTAGTGGAAGGTGTCCCTGCCCATGGCAGGAGGGCTGGAACTAGACAATCATTAAGGTCCCTTCTAACCCAAACTATTCTGTGATTTTTGCCGGTGTAGAAGTTGTATAAGGGCTTACTGAAAGCTTTCCTTCACACGTGTTGTGACCATGTCTCTGTTTCTTACAGCACATTTGGTGAAAGTAGGGTGCTTATATCAGTTAGAAGATACTTTTTGACAAGCAAACGTACCATTTTTGTCCCTGATGGGGGAAAAAATGGTGTGCTTACCCCCCTCTGAGATGCAGGAGGATAGTAAAGCTCATTCAAAACTAGATATCTAGCTCATATCACAGTTAGATTTTGAGGGGCTGGTGATACCTCAGAGCTGTGATCTGCTGGGTCCAGAAATTCTGTCACCGAAGCACAGGTGCAGGCTAATTGCTTTGTTGGGTACAAATATCTTTGTTTGGATCACAGTCTTTGTA